GGGCATCTGTTTGTGACGTCAAACCTAGCGCCATGGGTGAAGGTGAAGTTGATAACAAAAAGGAAGGAGAACACAGTAAGGAAGCTCTTATTGATAACACTCATTTTTGTGACTGCTTGTTGAAGAAAAGAAGTAAAAACAATGGAGTATATATATAGGGTCAGCAAAGTGGTGGTGCTTAGGACATTAAAAAACCGGTGGTGATCGGTGAATCAATGTTGTGATTGGTCCAGGCAAGAGTTTTGAACAGAGTAATCAAGATGCATGAATTTTCTTAATTTTTTTTTTCCCTTCTCTCCCCGGTTTTAACTAAAGTGATCGATGCCATTTTGAATGAAAAAGAATAAGAGTTGGTCATATTTGTGTTTTAATAACTCTTATTTGTTGGATTATGTGTATTTTATACATAAATATGTTCTGAATGTTTTGTGCATTTGTGAATTAATAACTTTTTATTTAAATAATATTCTTTTCAACCAGCTTACATATGAATAATAAGACCTAGGTACAATGTATCGATTCACTTTGTTTATATCTATTATATTTGTTTTTTTCCAAACTAATTTACCTAATCTAAACTAATAAATAAAATATAATATTACATTGGGTGTGTTTTCAAGATTAAGTCATATTTATTATAATGAACTAATTAATTTATCTAACTGCTTTAATCTGCTCAAATTTATTAAATAACTCTTTCATAAAAGACAAGAGGTAGAGGACTATTTTGATCATCATAACTGAGTTATCCCAATTTAATTATAATTAGACTACTAACACTTTAACTATTATTATCGCTTTGAATGGTTTTGAAGTTGACATTGTGCCATGTATTATGGTTGGAAAACGGGATCCACTTGTCCTAAAAATTGTATCCGCACTTTTTTCCTCCACTCACGAATTTAAACAAACAAACAAATAAATACAAGAACAAATTGCCAAATAAAGGTTATTATTCCGCTTAAAATCAGTTCAAACTACCCGTGCATTTTTTTGTTGTTGCATAGAGTTTGAAGAGTGTGTTGAAAGCAAAAAAAAAAAAAACAATGGTGTAGGAAATTTAATAGCACTCTCTAATATTTAATATAAGATCCATTTTTTAATAATCTTATAATTGTAGAAAACATTTTTTATACCGGTTTATAATTTGTTTTATAAGCAAGAACTTGATTTTTTTTTTATATTTGCGTAAATTTAATTATATGCAGAATATGGATGTGGTGGCGCTGTTTCAACAAAAGTAGATGAGTATAGCCATGGAATTATGTGGCCCTACTTGGTACTGCCTCCGGTACTATTTATAAGACTTAATTGACTAATTTGAGGAGATTAAGAAAATAAGTTAAGTTAGTTATTTGTAATAAATACATGTTATCTTTCCTAAAATATCTTACTAATCAGGTATGTTGGTTAAAACTAATATTATTAGAAGGATTATATTAAAAAAAATATCTAAATATAAGAGACAAAGTAGATTAAGATCTTATATGTAAGATTAAAATAAAAATTAAATAAAATTTTATATTAATAATCGGATATAGTACATGGGATTGAGAGGTTGGCGTTAGGATAGGAACAGGGATTGGCCTAAATGGTCTTGTTTGGTAGGAGGGTCTGGAAGTACCTTCGGACTGAGGAATTGCTGAAGCTGCCTTGGGATTGAAAAATTCAGGGACAAAATTATCCTCGTTTTAACTTGAAATTGCCTTCACCCCACCACCTCTTCTCGCATGTCTCCCATGTACTCATCTGAAGCGTTCAAGGAAGCTTTTTTTTTTTTTTTTTTAAACTAAGCATATGTATTCTTTTTTAAGGCAATCATATTTGAAGCATTGTTTGAAACTAAGTGTGGACACCTCTCTTAATGGAGATTAAAACCCTGGTTCACCACGTTTTGAAAAACTAACCCTTTCTGTTAAATCCAACCCGATTGATTGTTCAAAGAAGCTTTTTTTTTTTTAAATGCTAGGCACGGATATTCTCTTATTAGAAGCAATCATATTTAAGGCACTGTTAGGCACTAAATGTGAGTCAACTCTCCCAACAAGAATTCAAATCTTAATTCGTTGAGCTATAAAGGACTAATTTCTTTTACTAGATCCAACTTTATTAGTCGTTAAAAGAATATTTTTTTCTGGGTTGTCCAAAATATCTTCCACCCGAATGATAAGAAACTAATCTCTTAAGGTACTATCAGATGTCGTGGCGGGAACCCCTCCCAATAATATTTTCTTCAGACACACTGCCCTAAAGATTAAACTTGAAACATGATTTTTAAAGTACTCAAGATCTTTCTACTTAGATCAATACTTGTTGGTAAAGAAGAATTTTTTTGGTAGCATTGACTTAAAAGAATGGGAGCAATTTTTAACATGCGACAGGCCGTCAGATGGTCCTGCTAATTTCTGAACTTGACCCAATACTTGCTAATTATGATCCAATTCATCAGAATTAAATGAAGCCGTTGGGCCACTCCCTTTCTGCTCCAAACAAACAGTGTGACGTTTTGGGTCTCTTATGGTTGAATGACTAATACCCTAACCATCAAATTTCAAATATATTGGTCCCCAGAGTGTCCACAGCAACTTGTTCCTTTTCAAATAAGAGACGGCACTTCAATTCTGAAAAAAATATATATAAATAAATAAATTTAATGAAAATCAGGTCTTACAAATTTTTAGTAAAAATAAATTGTAAATATCAATTTAAATAATTGCAAAGATTAAGGTTCATCGAATACTCTTAAAAAAAATTTTCAAGTGCTTTGAATACTTTAAAAAATTTTATGGTTCTAATTTTCTTGCCATCATGTGATGATCACAATTGAATTATTTTTAAGGTTTAAAATAAATATCTACCACCTTAACTTATAAAACGTAAAAAATTATTTTAATTTCACATGTTAAAAATTAAACCTAAAGGTAATTTTAAAAAAGAAAGAATATTTGGACCTAAGCATATGTTCTCTTCATCAGGACCAAAGCAAGCATCTGGGATCAAAGAGTGCCTATAGGAATGAATAATTTTTTATTGTTAGACAGTGGAAAAATTGAAAAATTCAACCTACTGTTTTGTATAATGAAGAACTTATTTCTTAGTGCTTAAAATATTTCAATACAAAAATAAACTTAGTTATTTCAAATTTGTTTTATTAAAAAAAACCTTTGTCCAATGACGTAATATTTAATGTTTAATAAAATATTTTGACAAATTTTCCAATGCATCAAAAAAATATTTTGACAACAAAACGTAATGAGTTTTAATTTATAATTATTAAAAAATCTACACTAACTAACACCGAAATTAAGCACAAAATCACTCAATCCTCAAACCAAATTCCATACATTATAATAATAAAATTAGAGCCACAGAAAATCAGAAAACGTGGCCTAATAATCTCCCAGAATCTACGTCTTTATCAATAATTAAATAATCTGGTAAAAAAATAATTAAATAATTAAATAAAATGAATATAAATAGCGTGAAAAGCAGTTATGCCCCCAGCCATAAAAGCAGGGATTTGGATTCTCTCCACTTCTTCTTCCATTCTCTTCCCCTCCACTATCTTCTTTTTCCTTTCACAATCATTAGATCCAAATTTCAATAGTCCAGATTTAACATCTTATAAAAATAATATTATTAAAATAAATAAATAAATTTAAATTGTTAAAATCTTGTCTGAACAGTTAACAACTGTAATAAAAAAGATTGAAAAAAATTTGCTTGTAATAACAACCTGTAGATATGAGCTGATCAAATTAGATTTTAACAGTTTAAATTTATTTATCTATTTTTATAATTATATTTATTTTTATAAAATATTGTAAAATATTAAATCTGAACTATTGAAGTTTTGATCCAATGATTATGAAGGGCTAAAAAAGATAATGGAAAGGAAGAGGATGGGAGAAGAAGTAGGCTTTCCGGTGAGAGGGGCAGGAATATGTCTCGGCTTTCCGTGACATTACATAATAGCTATCCAATGATCAATCGGAGGGCTAGTTTTGGAAAGGAGCATCTCTCTGCCTCTGTTGGCCGCAGCACAGAATCGCCACCCAGGATTTGAGCATGTGGATTCCTCGTTCACGTTAGCTCCAATCTCCACCATCCATTTATTATGCACCGTATTTCGCCACCTTACCCGCACATTTAATGAAGTCTATTTCAAAGGGGTAGACAACGCAACAAAGTTATATTGACTTTGACTTTTAACGCTGTAAAAAACAGGTAGATATTAATTTCAAGTCTAAAATAATTTAAAGATATTCTGAATTATTTTTCATAAGGTATTTGGCTATAGGTATGCGACATCATAAGTTTTTTTTGTACAAAAATACATATAAAATTTTTATTAAAATATCATAACCATTAAGTCAATTTAAATTAATCACTTACAAATTTTTCATTAAATATGGTTACATCTTGTCCCCACAATAATTTCTTTTTTTACCAGCAGTCCCCACAATAAATTTGAACTATTAAATTAAAATAAAATACATCATGCGACTCTGTAAATTTTTAGAGAAATCTGATTTAAAAATCTCCTACATGTCAAAAGTTTTATTGATAAGGATAACCTAAATTAGAGCGCCAGTACTCTGTAGAATAACAGTGATTTATGTGTATAAAAAATTATCAGACCCTTTTTATCAATAAAATATTTAATAAGAAACTTTACTAAAATATTCTTTACTAAAAATATCAACGCTACTTCTCTGATTATTAATATAAAAACTAGTTTGAGGGTTGGGTTTGATTCTAAAGATAAAACCTTAATTCACTTTATTTACTAACTTTTCTTAAAATATTCTTATCGATTAAAAGAGATTCTTATCAAGAAATGATTCTAACGATGTAATGTATATGATTAAAGATGATAGTTTAAAAAGATGAATACATAGTTCTGACAAATAACTAATTTAACTAATTTTTTTAATATTCTCAAATTAGTTATATAACTATTGTATTAAGAACCGGAGATAGTATAAAACAAAATTTATTTAGTTGTGGACCTCACATTTTGTTTCGGCATGGCGCCCCTTGATTTGGTCCTTGACACGCAAAATGCAGTGCACATATAATTTAGTGTTGGATGGAATTGACGAGGTGTCTATGGTCAGAAACAGTGAGATACTATTGCCTTTGCCCTCATGCATCCCATTAGGGTAGACAACGAGTTTCCTGCAGCAATAATACCAAAATAAGATATTTCATGCATTTAAAATATGATTTAGGAAAAGGAATTATGAAGATAATGTAACTTTTATTAATCAACAAAAAGAGAGAACAAATCTCATTAAAGGTAAGCAAGTAAATCCTTCTTTAAGGGATGGCAGGCAAATCCCAGAACTTTTTGAAACTCATGAGAAGAGGACCCATATTAATTAACCTCTTGTTTTTTTTTTTTTTGGGTAAGGATTAAATCAATAAGGGCTTGGATTACCTCCCTCTAATCTTATACTCTTTTATAAGGCACCAACATACCTCAATCTTCTCTTCATAATTATGTTTCATATGAAATGAGTGATATTTTAATATTTTATGCTGATGAAATTGTGCGGTACGTATGCCGATTTAATTTCTTTGAAAAATTGTTAAAGATTCATAATTGCACCATTTTATCATCGCCAGATATCGCAATATCACTTAAAATTTAATTTTAAAAAAACCACATTTTGAAGATTGTCACATTACCCAAAACAAGAAAATATTAGGAGAGAGCACATTAGGGACTCAAACTCGAGCATATAATAACCAATATTCCATCAAAAACGTTAGTAGGCGATTGGCCAAGAGGTTAGGAAGCATTAGTGTTTCATACCATTTGTAGTCCCCAGCAAAGAAAAGTGCAGACTCGTACTTTTCTAGATTAGCTCTTGAAAAATTGTCGAATCTCCACCTATAAGAAAGAAGAGGAGGTTCTTCTATAATTGACAGGCATTCTTGTTTGGATGGAGGCTTGATCACAAAGATTTCGGCTCCCAAAACGCAGGCATCCCCAATCAAAAATCCATTTGAAGGGTCCTCGAACGACTCGAGGTCGATGAACTTTGGAATGCCCCATTGAGTTTGCAGCTTATGAAAACGCTTTGTGCCTGCGTCTGCATTTCGGTAACCGAGTTAACAACATATGCACAATACTATCTCCCCCTTACTTAATACTGCAGTCAATCCTTAATATGAGAGCAAGATAACTAATTTAACAATATTAATTAAGTTAGTTATTTGTAATAAATAAATATTATGTTTCCCAAAATACCCCAATCAATTACATGCATTTAATCTTCTTCAACTTTTTAAAACTTTGGACAAGGTAATGGAAATCTTGTCCTATTGTTTAGGAACCATCAAACATAAAAGTTTGAGTTGTTAGACAGAATCGCAGGAATGCCATAAGAACCTTTAACATGCTTTGTTGCTTGAAATCCTTTTTGGCTTCGAGTGTAGAGATGCACAGCCAACAGCATCTGCCTCTCTGTTGAAGTTTTAAGGGTTACGAACAAGGATCTGACACCAAAAGGAAAATAAGGAAGAGGAAAAATAGTTAAGCTTTTAAAAACTTACAAAAATTAACTATGGTAAGACAAACTTTTAGTTCATGACAAGAACTCAAGCTGTTAGGTTGAATATTTAATACAAACTCTGCAAGCATGATTTGACACTTTCCCGTTAACTACTGTGTGTGTGGTGCAAACTACATTCTAGAGTAAATTTCTATCTGGATTGTGGTAACTAAAGTAGTTTCATGTACACATCACCTTTTAATATTATTACATCCACTGATTATAAATTTTCATGTTTATGAACAGCAAGTCATCTGCCTTTCAACAGGAATGGATTTAAATTTTTCACAAACTCTGGTGGGCTTGGGAAGGCTGACATTACAGACATCTTAGAGCGAGCTGCAGACATATACACAAAATTTACAAAAGAGAGTTTGATGAATACGGAGGGAAAGGCTTCAAAATCCATTAAGAAAGTTGATTACATGGCTGTGTATACATCTGATTTGGTGAAGGCAGTTCGTAAAGCGGCTGGAAACGTAGGTATGAATTCCCTGAAATACTGCATGACAGTAAGTATATTTAGGAGATATAGATATTAAGTTCTTAAATGAAGTGGAGATAAGAAAAGAGACTCTTTGCCTCTAGAGACTCTTTATGGTGTTGTAAGTACTTCTCTGGTTTGCCAATTTTTTCTCCCTATATGTATTGTTCACTAACTATCGCGTGATATTATCAATCCACAGAGAAGCCATTGGAGGGATTCCACATAGTTGTGGACGCAGGCAATGGAGGAGGAGGATTTTTTGCGGTAAATGGTCTTTATTATCTCCTTGTTCTTTTTCAAATAATATTTTGAGTATTAAGGCATTTATGTCAGAAAGATCCATCAAAATGAACTTGCAAACTAAAGGAACAAAATATATACTCATTAAACCATTAACAAACATGTAGTTTTCTACGGACAAATTGATAGTGTTTAGAAGTGCCTATGACATTCACACACAATCTTTTTTGAAATCTGACGGGAGGAAGACAAGGGGTGGATGTTGGATCGCAACAATCACTGCTCTTGCGAAGCACTAACTGCGTTACTCCTAAGCCTCAGATTGGGAAAGTGAAATCAGACGAAACAATAGGAGGGCTAAAAACAACCACAACAAACCTTATCTTGTTAAATGAAGATGGCTATATGGATTACATTACATCATTATGCTCTATCAAAAATCAACTCTTCATATATACCTTTCACCAAGAGATTTCTTTGGTATTTTTTCCAGTCTCCTTCTACGTCTTTTCATAAGGCTAAAAGCTATTTGCTCAACTTTCCTCACTGACTATCATGCTTCTTTGCACATATTTAAACCACCTTAAACGATTTCTTTCCATCTTTTTTGGTATAGATGCCATGCCAACTTTTCTTTGTAAGCAGTCATTGCGGATCTTCTTTTTTCTTGTATGATTGTACATCCATCTCAACATCCTTTTCTCCACTATCTTAATTTTTTTGATCTTGTTATCCTTTTAATGCCCAATATTCACTGCCATATAACGTTGCTAACTTTATAGCTATTAAATAAAACTTCCTTTAAGCTTAGGAGGTACATTGCAATCATAAATGGCTCTCATTGCCTTCCTCCATTATGACCACTTAGCTTGAATCTTATGCATAGCATCCACATAAATTCCTTTTATCTTATGCATAACATCCACATAAGAAATTCATACATTTCATCAATGATTAATCAGGCTAAAGTTCTTGAACCACTGGGTGCAATTACTACTGAAAGTCTATTTTTGGAGCCAGATGGTAATATCTATCTCTTGGGGATTGATTTGAGCTCTGTATTGTAGTCAAAATTTAACTCCATGTTTTGTGTTCAGGCTTGTTTCCAAATCATATCCCTAACCCAGAAGATAAGACAGCAATGAAAGCCATAACACAGGTGGTTCTTGATAATGAAGCTGATCTTGGAATTATCTTTGATACTGATGTTGACAGGTAAAGATTTTTCTTATTTATTTCATTCATGTGCTTATTATTTTTTTAAAAAACAAAATCAACATCTATCACTTTCGTCTAGATCTGCTGCTGTGGACTCCACATAAAAGCTTTCTTATTTAAAAAAAACGGTCACATGTTCAATGAATCGGCGATGATGCATTCATATAAATTCTTTTAGGTAACGTGATTTGAATTTTATATATAAAATCTCACATTTAAAATTAAAAATTCTTTGTCTGGGTAGCGTAAAAAATTCACATCTATTTAAAAAAATTATCCTGCTTGTGTGATCCGTCCACATGTTTGGATAGAATTGAAAGAGGATAGCTAAGATTTGAAATAATTAGATTATGCCTCTGAAACTCTGAAACGAATTGTGATGAACAAAAAAAAAAAAAAACGGAGAGAGAAAGAAAAATCTCTCTTTTTAAAATGCGTAAGCCCCAATCAATCCCCACTATTTAACAAATGCCAAATCAGTCCAAGGCCGAAGTTAGCACCAGCTGCCACGCATTTCTTAGCAGTTAGTTAAAACTAAAGCATCTTAGTAAAATAATACAAAATATAACCTCCTAAATATAGGAACTAATCGGAGATTTAATTTAATTTTAAATATAAAATGTAATCTATTTTGTCTTTAATATTTATTTATTTTACTCTCAAGTAATTGTATAGTGATTGCGTAAGAAGTTACTGTTAAAAAGTACTTCAAATACATATGATTAATGAAAATATTTTAGAAAAGACAGCATTTATTATTACAAATAACTAATTTAATTCATTTTTAATATTTATAAATTATTTATCTAACTTTTATATTAAGAGTCGAATGTGGTAATATATAAGAAGCCTATCAAGCTTTGATTGTACAAACAATGAATTAATTATTAACTACAATTTAATAGGTGTTAATCACAACAGATTACTACCTCCGCTTTTTAATATAAAAGTTAGCTTGAAATTTAATTCGGTTTTAATTATAAGACCCCAATCTACTTTCTCTTTCATATTTATCTATTTTCTAAAGTAATCATTATAGTAGTTATAGATGTTAAAAATTTCATCAAATGACAATTCTAACTAATAAACATGATTAGTAAGGGTATTTTAAGAATGACAATACTTATTTATTATAAATAACTAACTTAACTAATTTTTTTAATCTACTCAAATTAGTCTGGTTATTATGTTAAGAACCGGAGGTAGTAGCATTTATCCATTCTTTTCATTTTTGGTTTACAATTTTGTTACAAGTTTAAGAAAATTTTGATGCAAGGCACTAGCTTTAACAGATATTAGCTATTAACTATAGTATAATAACTATTGACCATTGATCATAACATATTATATTGACTGGACAAACAATGAATTAAACTTAATAAAACACATAAACTTGACTCTTGAGATTAAGACATGATGTATTCCGTCACTCATCAGCCATTGTTGTCTCCCTCATTTCGCACCCATCGCTCCCCGTTTTGTTCAGCTCCACTTCCTTAACTGGTATACAAGAAGAAAATTGAGCTGCAGGTCTAACCCATCGAAGATTAGGGGGTTAGAATTGGTTAAAATCCAACTCGCAATAAGTAAGCATTTTTAACCCACCATCAAGCCCGCAACTTGTCATGAGTTAGCTCGCAAGAGCTAACTCGCATTTTATTTTTTATTTTTTATTTTTATTAATGATTATAAATTTATAATTATAGAATTAGCTATAATTTTAAATATAAGAGCTAGTTGACTAATTTAAGTAAATTAAGAAAATAAGTTAAATTAGTTATTTGTAATAAATAAGCACTATCTTTTTTAAAATATCCTTGCTAATAAAGTATATTGGCTAGCACTACTATTATTCAAAGGACTACCTTAAAAAATACATAAATATAAGAAACAAAGTGGATTGGAGTCTTATATTTAGAACCAAAATAAAATTCAAATGAAATCTTGTATTAATTAAAGACAGGAGGTAGTATTATATGTTATGTCTTATATAAAAAACTAAAAAATATCTATATCATTTATTTGATGCTTTCAACCAAATATGTTGAAGGAAAACAAAAATTTCGTTATATATTTTTATATTACATAAGGAAAAAATATTTAAAAATAAAAAATAAAAAATAAAGTAAAGTCATCTCACCAAGGCAAGTCAATGTTCATACAAACGAACCTTTTAACTTGTGCTGTATGGGTTCAACTCGTCACAAACAAACTCACAACCCATGAATTGGTCCGCATTAAAGCCGTTGAAGACTTATAGTCTATCATAGTACTTTTTTAAAAAAGCACTATAGTTATTTAATGTTTTTAAAAAATAATAAAAAATATATAACACCTGTAACACATTCTTAAATAAGTACTACAAAAGATTTATAACCTGTTGTAGCGTTTTTTTAAAAAAGGGCTACAGCTGTTTAATGTTTTTAACAAATAAAAAATATATATATAACACCAGCAGTATATTTTTAAAGAAGTGCTACAAAAGACTTATAGTTTGCTGTAGCGCTTTCTCAAAAACCTACTACAAATGTTTAATATTTGTTAAAAATATAAATATAAATAGGAGCTGTAGCACTTGTTCGAAAAAGAGCTACAAAACATGTGCTACTTATTTAACTTTTTATAGTAGTGATTATCAGCCCACGTACTGATAACTGAAGGGTTGCATAAGAATTTACCGTAAAAATACTACTTATGTAGAAGCTTAAGGGGTTGAAGAAGCTATGACGACAAGACGACCACAATAAAAATAAAGACATCAATCCAAGTTTATGGATAAACACATATATCATTAAGCCCAATTGTATTACTCATAAGCTGAGAATTAATTTCTCCTTCAGTCTCTTATTATAATAAACAGCTTTCAAAATCTTCAAAATGTTAAATTTAATTAAAAGCAATAAATACGTTAAATACATATTTTTTTAAATTATACATTTGTCTATAAAGCGAGTACATAAGAGATCGTGAGTAAAAACTTAGTGTAAATAGATAATAAGTGGCATATATTTAATAAAAATAAAAGTGAAAAGATAAGTTTAAAATTTTAGATAAAAAGGTTTGTTTCTTATATTTAAGGACAACCACTATATGAAAGAGATTGTTCCTGACAAACAGGGACGGAGTGGGTATATTTTCAATGATACAAGTTCACATGTAGGTAGAAATTCTCGGTAGTACTTCCACCAACTCATTAAGGCAGGTTAGGGATGGCTAAAACCCAACCCACCTACAAACATACCGTTTAACCCGCACCGCATAGGTTCAATCCGTCATGAGCCAATCAACATCATGTCAGTTGACCCCCGTATTATCACTCCATGTAGTGACAACCGAAAGGTTGCATAAGAATTTAACGTAAACATACTACTTTAAATTAGTAATATTTTAAGAAAATTAGTTAAATTAATTATTTATAATAAATAGGTGTTGTCTTTTTTAAAATATCCTTACTAATCAAATATATTAATTAAAATTTAAAACTACTATTATTATAAGAATTATCTTATGAAAAATAAATAAATATAAGAAAAAAATAAATTAGAATTTTATATTTAAGACCA